TCCATCCCCAGAAGCTGCCACTGACCTGAATTCGGTATTTTTTTTTAGCCTTATTTTGTTTGCAAAATATTATTTTGCATGATTTAATATTTACTCCATTACTTCAACTGAAAATTTACTTTAGGCCAGGCGTGGTGGCTCACGCCTGTAATCCCAGCACTTTGGGCGGCTGAGGTGGGCGGATCATGAGGTCAAGAGATCGAGACCATCTTGGCCAACATCGTGAAACCCCATCTCTACTAAAACATAAAAATTAGTTGGGCGTGGTGGTGAGTGCCTGTAGTCCCAGCTACTTGGGAGGCTGAATCAGGAGAATTGCTTGAACCCGGGAGGCAGAAGTTGCAGTGAGCCGAGATCACTCCACTGCACTCCAGCCTGGCACCTGGCCACAGAGCAAGACTCTGTCTCAAAAAAAAAAAAAAATTTACTTTAAAATTTACACAAATGGTATCACACCTTATGCTTCATTTTGAAACTACATTTTTATCTGTTATATTTTTGTAAAATGTATTCATGTTAATACATATGGTTCTAGATCATTTCTCTTATTTACTGTAATATTCTACTGTATGACTATAATTTATTTATGTGTTTCTCCTTTTAGACATTTTTGGATGTTCACAGGTTTCTTTTCCTCTTATGAATAGTACTGCTGCTATGAACATGTTTTTGTACCCATCTTTTGGTGCAGGTGTGCAAGGTTTTTTTTCGGGTGTTTTCTTGGTCATAAGGAAAGGACATTTCTAACTCTTCTATATGTTGCCAAACTACTCTTTTGAGATTCTTCCACCAGCATACTGAGAATTTCCTCTTTTTCGTATTCCAGTCATCACTCGACATACTAATTACTTTAAAATACTTGCTAGTCTTATGAGTTCGAATGGATCTCCTTTTGTTTCATTTTGTATTTCCCCAATTATTCGTGAGGTTAACTGTCTATTCAAACATGGAGCCATGAGTTTTCTTCTTTGAAGACTAAAATGTCTGTTTGTCTATTGGGCTGCTTTTGTCCAATTGATGTGTAAGAATTCTTCAGATCTTCTGATACCAAGCTCTTGCTTGGTCGATGTTGCAAATCTATTTCCCAATATGTCTCCTATATTTAGTTTTGCTAGCATGTCTTCTGTAGTAGTAAATATTTTAACTTTGATTAAGTCAAATGTATCCATTTTTAATTTATCAGCGAATTAATTTTCATGGAGTCAGACTTTTCTCATGAGTTAATCAGTCATTTTAAAGAATCTTCTTTCAGTTTGGTTTGTGGGCTTGGTTTGCTGGTTTATCTTTCTCTGATTTCTGTTCTTATATTTACTAATCCTTTCTTCTCCTTATTTCAGCAGACTCTATTTTTATTTTCTAGCTTTGACTACTACCCTCATCTTGGTCTTTCAAGAAATACGTTTTAATTCACTTGGTCTGCATTTTTCATTTTTTGAAGTATACAGTAATTTTAGTGACAATGGTTCTAGAGATTTTCCTTCTTAAACCATGGTACATTAAACATTTTTAATGTTTAATTAAAACATTAAATTAAAACATTAATTAAATGTTAATTAAAACATCTCGAGAGAGATCCAAGATGGCTGATCACTAACAGCTCAGGATTGTAGCTCCCAGTGAAAGCTCAGAGATCAAGAGAATGCCACACTTTCAGATGAAATTTCATTGCTCACGGACCAGCAGATTTCTAGTGGAGGAGCCCCACGGGTCGCCAGCGTGACTCTTGTGGCCGGCGCAGCGGTTTTGCTGGTGCCTTGGCGCCGCAGCTCTTCATGCAGAGTAAACGGGACTGGTTTCCTTACTGACAGGTGTTTGGAGCTCCAGGAAGGCAGAGCCACTTGTTGCGGACTCAGGAAGGACGCCAGACCAGAGATTCCCGGGCAGAAGAGCACCATCAGTCTTGTTGCTGCTGTTTTGGCCGGCGCAGTGGGTTGCTTGAATTCCAGCACTGAGAATCAATAAATTGGATGTCGACTCAGAAACCTAATTAGAAAGGTGGCAATTGTAAAGACGACAGATGGATAAATTTATAATAAAGGGAAAAAACCAGCCTAAGAAGGCCGAGCATACCCAAAATCAGAACCCCTCTCCCTCTACAGGGGATTGCAGTTCCTCATCAGCAACGGAACAAGCCCTGATGGAAAAGAATTGTGTTCCATTATCTGAAGTAGGCTTCAGAAGGTGGATGATAAGAAACTTCTGGGAATTAAAAGAACTTGTTCTAACCCAATGTAAAGAAACTAAGAACTTTGAAAAAAGGTTTGACGAAATGCTGAAAAGAATAGACAATATAGAGAGGAATATAAATGAACTAACGGAGTTGAAAAATACAACACGAGAACTTAGTGAAATATGCACAAGTTTAAATAGCAGAATGGATGAAGCAGAAGAAAGGATATCAGAGGCCAAAGACTAACTTAATGAAATAAAATGATAAGACTAGAATAGAGAAAAAAGGATGAAAAGGAATGAGCAAAGTCTCCAAGAAATATGGGACTATGTGAAAAGACCCAATCTCCGTTTGATTTGTGTACCTGAATGTGATGGAGAGAATGAATCCAAGCTGGAAAATACTTTTCAGGATATTATCCCGGAAAATTTTCCCAATCTAGCAAAGCAGGACAATATTCAACCCCAGGTAATACAGAGAACACCACAAAGATATTCCTCAAGAAGAGCAACCCCAAGGCACATAATCATTAGATTCACCAGGATCGAAACAAAGGAGAAAATACTAAGGGCAGCCAGAGAGAAAGGCCAGGTTACCCACAAAGAGAAGCCTATTAGACTCACAGCAGATCTCTCAGCAGAAACCCTACAAGCCAGAAGAGAGTGGGGGCCAATATTCAACATACTTAAAGAACAGAACTTTCAGCCTAGAATCTCATATCCTGCCAAACTAAGCTTCACAATTGAAGGAAAAATAAAATCTTTTATGAACAAGCAAGTACTCAGAGATTTTATTACCACCAGGCCTGCTTTACAAGAACTTCTGAAAGAAGCATTATACATAGAAAGGAACAACCAGTATGAGCCTTTCTAAAAATATACCAAAAAGTAAAGAGCATCAACATAAAGAAGAATTTACATCAACGAATGGATAAAATAGCCAGTTAACATCAAATGGCAGTAACCCTAAATTTAAATTGACTAAATCCCCCAATCAAAAGATACAGCCAAAACCTAACGGTATATCCAAAGATACACAAAGACTCAAAACAAAGGTTTGGAGAAAAATTTACCAACCAAATGGAGAGCAAAAATAAATAAATAAACAAAAAGCAGGAGTTGCAATTCTCACATTTGATAAAATAGATTTCAAAGCAACAAAGATACAGTGGTAAAAGGATCAATGCAACAATAAGAGATCTTAATACCCAGATACATAAGACCCATAACGAGATTTAGACTCAACGAGACAGAAAATTAATAAGGATATCCAGGACTTCAACTCAGATCCGGAACAAGTAAACTCAATAAATATTTATAGAGTTCTCCATTTTAAATACACAAAATATTGATCGGCCATTATTAATACCCATTTTTAGAATGAAGCAATATTCCTGTTCTCTCTCCCTCTTTTTCTTCCTCTCCTTCTCTCCTTTTTTTACTTTTCAACATCCTAGTTCTTCACCTCTACTCAATACATTCCTTTGAACATCTGATTCCTTGTAAAAAAAAAACAAAGTCAAACAGGTAAGAAAGACTTCCCTCAAGGCTTTGCATGAAGGGGAGAGTCTAAACCCAGCTCAAGTGAAACAAAGGATGGGAGAGTTTCTAAAACTATACAGGAGGAATATGTTCTAGTGGAACTTATAACGGAAGATCACAGGCCATCTATGTATGTTAATTAACCTCACCCAAAAGAAAAGTCAACTTTCTCTTTTTCATAGGAAGTAATTTTACAGCTTGGAGAAATATGCCCACTAAACTTGGTTCCTTTTCTCCCACAGAGACTGGGAGACAGCAGTGCCATCTTCCTTAGTGATTACATAGCAAAGGATGAGTCTCAGGTCCTTGAGAAAGACGGTCCTAGGTTGTTAAACTGGGCAAGAGGCTTCTGAAAAGACTTGTAACCAAAGATACAGAGAAAAAATTACATGTTTTCTAAAGTAAGTGTTCTAAGAAAAGGGAGATCAGGGCCTGATCCATGTTTAATCCATGTTGGTTAGATATTTCTCCAACAGAGAGCGAGTTCCTTGAGGACAGAAATAAACAGAATGTACAAAGTTCAGGCCACTAAAGATAGGATTCTGACTCACAACCTTTGCAGCAACAAGATCAGAACTTGTTCTAACTGCCAGCTTTCCTAATTTTTGCCCCTAATTTCAACTTAGAACCAACCAGAAAAAGCCAAATATGTTCTCCTGACTGAGCACATAGGTTGCTGTTTCTCTTTAGCCTGCCTTCAATTTGTCTATGCCCACAATCTCCAATAAGAAAAGGGACTTGAAACTCCCTCCCACACCAGCCCCTTTTTATTTCACCCATGAAGCTTTCCGGCTCCTCTGTCTGCCTTTGATTCTCTGACAAACACAACTGCTGGTGGCTGATTCCCTTGCTCTGGTAAGCTTTGAATAAGTAGTATTTATTCTGGATGGTCTTCATTTATTTCCAGAGCAGAAAATCAGCATGTAGAGCTGTGAGCAATTCCTAATACCAAAGTAATCAATTAAAGAGTTAGTTCCTGCATAAAGAACTTCTGTGCTAGCAGCATGGTTGTCTGGAAGAAGAGTATAAGAAGTCAGTGATGTGGTTTAGCACTCAGACTGAATCACTTATTTTGTGACTTGAGAAAATTTTACGTTTGACTCTCTGCTATGGTGGGAATGCTTGTGTCTTCCCCAAATTTATGTGTTGAAGCCTAATCACCAGTGTGCTGCTATTCAGAGGTTGGCCCATTGGAATGTGATTAGGTCATAAGGGTAGGGCCCTCACAATGGGATTAGTGTTCTTACATAGGAGACCCTAGAGAGCTATATTGCCCATTCCACCATGTGAGGACTCAGAGAGAAGGCCTCATCCATGAATCAGGAAAAGGCCTTCTCCAGATACTGAATCTGCCATGCCATAATATTGGATTTCCCAAGCCTCCAGAACTGTGAGAAATACATTTCTGCTGTTTATAAACTCCCTAGTTTATGGTATTTTGTCATAGTAGCCTAAATGAACAAAGACAGTCTCTATTCTTACCTCTGCTTTTGGAATAATAATTCAGTTTATGAGTTGTTTAAATTAAAAAAATAAAATAAAATAAAAAATAAACATTTTTAAGTTTAAACAAAATAATGTGTATACATACTAGAAAAAGAAAACAGAATTTATCTCCCATTTCTCCTGTCCCTCTGTTCCCTTCCAGATGAGGGGAACCAAATTATTAGAGTGCCAGCCTGGGTTACTTTACCTTATGTAGGATGAAAAAAATGGGTGTTTATTTGAAATGACATATTATTATATATGATTTATTTTCTGTTACATAAATGCTATCAAACAAAATGAAATGATGAATTTATTATTTAAACAAAAACAATAGGACTAGTTAACAGTGGCAATTAGTAGTAGAGGTGATTAAACAAAATTATGTGTGAGGAAAATATCACAATGTTTTCATGTTTTTTATTCTCTGACACATCAACTTATTTTAACTCTTTATTAAATTTAATAAATTTTGGCTGGGCGCAGTGGCTCACACCTGTAATCCTGGCACTTTGGGAGGCCAAGGAGGGCTGATCATCTGAGGTCGGGAGTTCAAGACCAGCCTGACCAACATGGAGAAACCCTGTCTCTACTGAAAATACAAAGAAAATTAGCAGGAAGTGGTGGATTATGCCTGTAATCCCAGCACCTCGGAAGGCTGAGGTAGGAGAATTGCTTGAACCCAGGAGGCAGAGGTTGCAGTGAGCCGACAGCACACCATTGCACTCCAGCCTGGGCAACAAAAGCAAAACTCTGCCTCAAAAAAAAAATTAAGAAATTATGTAGGCCATATAGTTGGGCATTCTTAAGGTATATGTGAATGTTTTCACAGGAGAACTTTAATATAGATTATAATTATTTATAATTATAATTATAGAACTTTAATAATATTTAAAGAGGACTTTAACATAGGTAAAGAGAAATTACCCATATTTAGTGGAAAACAACAATGACATCTTTTTCCTGTACAGTAGGATATTTTACTCTTTCTATTTCCTTTTTCTTAATACTTCCCTGAATGCTGCACCATTAAGTCACATCAGTCACCTCACTCGCTCATCACTCAATGCCCCATTGCAGGAATTCCAAGTCATGGGTGCCAACATGAACAGTCAGTGACCACGCTCGCAGGGGATCTATGCAGTGCTCAGCCCCTATTTTTTAGGATGCCCTATGGGTTTTGTACTTTTCCCTCAACCTTTCTCACTCATCATGAAAAACTGAGACATCTTGTGCCCACGACCGAGTATTTTTCTGGAATGCGGGACTGACAGTCCTGAGTGAACCTAGACACTTGGCTACCCCAGCAAGTTAGTAATTTTAGCTCTCTTAGCTGGTTCTCTTGGTCTTAGTCTCCATATTGCTAAATAACATACTTACATTGCTCTTTCTTGACTGTTCTATCTCAGATATCATGTACTGTGTTTTCATATGAAAATGAAGATTTGACTCTTTCCAAATCCTCTTTTCTTTTTGTTGCTTTACACATTCACTTTTTTTTTTTTTTTTGAGAAAACCGTGCAGTGACTTCCCAAGAAGTGATGCATGCCAGAGGAGTTTTTTAAAATAACTGTCTGTGCATCATCCCCTCCCCATCCCCTCACCCCATCGTTCCCCATCTGGAAAAAGCACACAGAATTCTTTCCAGATACTCTAAAGCACTGGCTTTACAAAGGAAAAGAGTCTTATCCCAAACACACAGTCTTTCCACTTACCCCCAAAGGAGACTAATCATAAAAAGTTTTAAAAACTGAATCGAGATGTCATCACCTTCATTTTTAAGAAAGACTCCAAGGTACCTATGCTGCCAAAATGCCTGCACTGTCCTCCCTCTCAATATCCACATTCACAGGGGCTTTGCTGCATTCTTAGGACAAGATATTTTCAAGGCAACTGTTACTAGCTGTTTCCTTATAGGGCATCAAGATAAGAAACGCTGATGATGTTATTAACCCTGACCCCACTTTGATGTGGATATGGGAAACTGAGCAGCTCAGCTTTCACTGGTCACTGACACTAACCTTTCATACTAGGATTTCCTGCAGTTTAAGGGTGACAGACTGACTAGGGGAATGGTGATGTCTTAGAGCAAGCATCACTTGCTTTTTACAAGTGGTTCCTACAGACGCCTCAATTTTGTCCAAAATAGAATGCTCACCTTTCTTTACAGTGCCATCTGCTGCTGCCTCTGACTACTGCATTTTCCTTCTGTTTGCTTAGTCCACACCCAGTGTGGTAAAAGATGGGAAAGGGAAAGCCATCTTCTATTAAAGTAAATATCAGGCACTACAGAACTATATTGACACAGGAAAAATGTTGTATTTTCTATACCCTATAGTCTCACTTAATAATAGGTGCATTAGGCCGGGCTCACATCTGTAATCCCAGCACTTTGGAAGGCCAAGGCGGGTGGATCACCTTAGGTCAGGGGTTCGAGATCAGCCTGGCCAACATGGCAAAAGCCCATCTCTACAAAAAATACAAACATTAGCTGGGCGTGGTCGTTCATACCTGTAATCCCAGCTACTCAGAAGCTGAGGCAGGAGAATCGCTTGAACCCTGGAGGCAGAGGTTGCAGTGAGCTGAGATTGCACCACTGCACTCCAGCATGGGTGACAGAGTGAGACTTCATCTCAAAAATAAATAAATAAATAAAATAATAGGTACAATAAGTAACATCAGGAGATGATCTCAAAGAAAAATGGAATCGAATAAGAAAAAAGACTCATGGGGTGCTGTTTGATACAGGGTGGTCATGAAAGATCTTTCTGCTAGCTATTTCTGAATGTAGTGTAAGCAGTGAGCCATGTAGATGTCTGGCAGAAAAAGATTTCAGACTTAGGATCAGAAATGCGGAGATGTAGGAGAAGGAGCATTCATTCAGCAGAGGGCGCAGCAAATGCCAATGTCCTGAAGTAGAAGTACATTGGGCATCCCCAGGCTGTGGGAGGAGGTGGGGCCCTAGAGCAGCATAAGGAAGTGAAACGCTGGTGATGGGAGCTGCAATGGAAGCCACGACCAGGTCATGAACACTATGTTGGCCACAGTGAGGACCCCAACTTTATTCTAAGTGTGATGGGAAGTTATTAGGCAGTTTTGAGCAGAAGAGTATCACAATCACATTCAGATTTTGAAATGATTGCTCTGTCTAGTATGCAAATAGCCAAGAGCGGAAGAATAGACGATGATGCTCTGTCATCCAAGCTGGAGTGCAATGGCATGATCTTGGCTCACTGCACCCTCCACCTCCAGAATTCAAGGGATTCTCTTGCCACAGCCTCCAGGGTAGATGAGATTACAGGCATGTGCCACCATGCCCGGCTAATTTTTTTATGTTTAGCAGAGATGGGGTTTCGCCATGTTAGCCAGGTTGGTCTCAAACTCCTGACCTCAGGTGATCTGCTTGCCTCGGCCTCCCAAACTGCTAGGTTTACAGGTGTGAGCCACCATGCCCAGCCTGTTTATTTATTTTAGAGATAGGCTGTTGTTATGTTGCCCAGGCTGGCCTTAACTCTGGGACTCAAACAATCCTACCATCTCAGCCTCTCAAGTAGCTGAGACCATAGGTGTGTGCCCTCATGCCCATTTCTATTCTTTATTTTATTTATTTCTGCTCTAGTCTTTATTATTTCCTTCATTTTGCTAACCTTGGGTTTGGTTGGGTTTTTTTTTTTTTTCCTAGTTCCTTGACTAAGAGAATGATCTTTATGTCTTTCTGATTACCTCAAATCTCTTTGCTGCACTCACACATGTAGAAACCTTGTGGTCTTTAATCTGCTATGGGATTAGAAAAAAAAAAACACCAAACCTTGTGATCTGGAAGAAAGCAACAGTGTTCTAGCTAAAATTCTTAAAGAACAATAAGAATTAAAAATCCACACAGTTTTAAAGCCTTACTACACTCTCATTCTTAACCTTTGTGTACCATCTTAAAATTTTGTTTCTTTCTGGGCCACAGAAGAACAGAGTTTTCATTGTGAAATTTTACACCATATTTTACTGGTTCCGTGTATGCCCTGGCATACAATGGCCTAAGTCCCCTCTCAGACCTCCTTCTATTAGACACACCGAGCCTGAAGTAAGATGTCCCCACCAGGATATAAAGACACCAGTGTGTACTGATTGATAGGACAGTTGTGTGATTTAGTTATAAGAAGCCAACCAGGCTGAGGCAGGAGAATCACTTGAACCAGGGAGTCAGAGGTTGCAGTGAGCCAAGATCACGCCACTGCACTCCAGCTGGCAACAGAGAGAGACTCTATCTCCAAAACAAAAGAAGCCAACCAATTTCTCAGACGGCCAGTTGAGTTTTTAAAATGTATTTGCTGAATTGAATGGTTGTCTCTTCATGTAAGTTTTAGAAATCTATTATGGTGACTTCATCTCTCTGAAGGAAATAAAATGGTTTCGTCACTGGTAATAATAGTCATGTGACTTTTAATGTCTCTGGTTTAAATTCTTTAGCAGAAAGAGCCAAGTCAAACTTTAAGCTCAGTTACAGCAATTATGTTTCCTCTTACTGTTGGCACATTTGCTTTATCCTTTTCCTTTGCTTTTGATTTTATGTTTTGAAAATTTACTATCCTATATGGTATGTTTTTACGTAAATCATTTGCATATTTTTAAGAGCCTTTGTGGAAAAAAGTCTTTAGTTTTTTTCAGGGAAAAGGGACAAATGAATTGGATGAATAAACAGTATACTTTGAGATTTTGACATAAAAAATGTCTATTCTTGGCTGGGCGTGGTGGCTCATGTCTATAATCTCAGCACTTTGGGAGGTGGAGGCAGGTGAATCACCTGAGGTCAGGAGCTTGAGACCAGCCTGGCAAACATGGTGAAACCCTGTCTCTACTAAAAATACAAAAGTTAGCCAGGCGTGGTGGTGCATGCCTGTAATCCCAGCTACTCGAGAGGCTGAGGCAGGAGAATCCCATGAACCCTGGAGGCGGAGGTTGCAGTGAGCTGAGACCACACTACTACACTCCAGCCTGGGTGACAGACTTTGTCTTAAAAAAAAAAAAAAAAAAAAAAAAGGCCAGGCGCAGTGGCTCACGCCTATAATCCCAGCACTGTGGGAGGCCGAGGCGGGTGGATCATGAGGTCAAGAGATCGAGACCATCCTGGTCAAAAAGGTGAAACCCCGTCTCAACTTAAAATACAAAAATTAGCTGGGCATGGTGGTGCGCACCTGTAGTCCCAGCTACTCGGGAGGCTGAGGCAGGAGAATTGCTTGAACCCAGAAGGCGGAGTTTGCGGTGAGCCGAGATCATGCCATTGCACTCCAGTCTGGGTAACAACAGCGAAACTCCATCTAAAAAAAAAAAAGAAAGAAAGAAAAGAAAAATCTACTCTTTGGCATAAAATATCTTCCTGGGTTACAGATCACTACAAAAATGACTACAGATCTCTTGTTGTATATCCGTATGGACGACACTGAAAAAAGCATCCTTTCCATCAGTTTCCATTGGGAACCATGTTATAAACTCCTGTGGTTTCTGTGTGTGCATGTGTGCATTTCTGTAAAATTCCTCTACATCAGCCTTTTCCACACTATGCACTGAAAAATGACAATGTCAGAATAACCCAAATATCTACCAATGCAAATATCTATTAAAATGGATAAATTTACTATAATATGTTGATACAATAAAATACCACTGAGCAATAAAAATGATCAACTACCAATATATACCACAACACTGATAAACCTCAAAAACATTGTGTATTATGAGGCCAGGTGTGGTGGCTCATGCCTGTAATCTCAACACTTTGGGAAGCTGAGATGAGAGTGAGGGGTTGAGCCCAGGAGTTTGAGACCAGCCTGAGCAACAAAGTGAGACCCTGTTTCTATTTTTAAAAAAATTAAAAATTAGCCAGGCATGGTGGTGAGTGCCTGTGGTCCAACCTACATGGGATCTGAGGCACGGCTCCCTTGAACCCAGTAGGTTTAGACTGCAGTGAGCCATGTTGGCACCACTGAACTCCAGCCTAGGTGACAGAGCAAGACCCTGTCTCAAAAAATACATAAATATATATTGTGTAGTATGAAAAAAAGCCATAGAGGAAAGAGGCATGCTGTTTAATCTACTCCAAGGATAACGACGTTAAGCCATACATGAGGGGTTTGCCCTGATGGCCCAATTACTTCATATTAAGGCCTATCTCCAAAAATTGGGATCCCACAGCTTAAAGACTCAGTCCTATGAGACTGCCACCCACTTCAGATGCCAATCACCTGTCCCAGGTTGTGACCTGTACTTCTGACCAACTGGCTATTAATTGAGGTTACCCTCCTAAATCCGCTAGTTTGCTGGGATGGCTCATAGGACTCAGGGAAATACTTTGCTTACGTTTACCCACTTATTATAAAGGATATTGCAAAGGCTACAAATGAATAGTCAGATGCAAGAGATGCACAGGGGAACGTATGTGGGAAGGAGCATAACTCCATACACCTCCATGTGCTCAGCAACCTGGAAACTCCCAACTCAGCTCTTTTGAGTTTTTATGAAGGCTTCATTATGTAGGCATGATGGATTACATTATTGGCCATTGGTGATCAGTTCATCCATTAGTTCCTTTTCCCTCACTGAAGGTAGGGGTGGGTAAAACTAAAAGTTATAACTCTCTCTCTCTTTTTTTTTTGATACAGAAGCTGGAGTTGCCCAGGCTGGAGTGTAGTGACACGATCTTGCCTCACTGCAACCTCGGCCTCCTTGGTTCAAAGCTATCCTCCAGCTTCAGCCTCTAGAATAGCTGGGATTATGGGATTACAGGTGCCCATCACCATGCCCAGATAATTTTTGTATTTTTAGTTTTGCCATGTTGGATAGGCTGGTCTTGAATTCCTGGCCTCAAGTGATTGGCCTCTCAAAATGCTAGGATTACAGGTGTAAAGTTCTAACTCTCTCTCTCTCTTTTTTTTTTTTTGAGACGGAGTCTTGCTCTGTTGCCCAGGCTGGAGTGCAGTGTCTCACTGCACTCTCTGCCTTCCTGGTTCAAGCAATTCTCCTGCCTTAGCCTCCCAGTTCGCTGGGATTACAGGTGTCCGCCACCACGCCCAGCTAATTTTTTGCATTTTAGTAGAGATGTGGTTTCACCATGTTGCCCAGGCTGGTGTCAAACTCCTGATTTCGTGATCTACCTGCCTCAGCCTCCCGACGTGCTGAGATTACAGGCGTGAACCACCACGCCCGGCTCTAACTCTCTAATCGCAAGGCCAGTTCACCTGGCAACCAGCTCCATCCTGAGGCTATCCAGGAGTCACCAGTCATCAGCCATCTCCCTAGCACACAAAAGACACATCATTTTGGAGATTCCAAAAAATTTAGGAGATGTGTGCGGGAAACCAGGATGAAGACCAAATATATATTTCTTATTTTAAATCACAGTATCACAAGGAATATGAGGCACAGAAACGGCTATCCTGTAAGCCTGTCTCAGAACCATCTGGATCATAACATACATCGACTTGCTCTTGGCTTTGAAAATAGTTTCTGTTCTGTTATGACCCTGCCAAAGCCATGCATTAAACACTCTGGTGCAATCTATATTTCTAGTTTTTGGAAATCCCAAGTCCAGCAACAAAAATATCCTTTGAAAAATGCCCATGCCACCTTGTCTTGCACAGAAATGTCATTGCAAGTTTGAGTAGAAAATTATTAGTAGTAGTGCCTTGAAATATCTTTAAAAAATGAAGAAAATGAGAATTATAATTATTTTTAACAATTCTGCCATTTAAACTTAAATGGTATTTTAAAAATAAGTAGATTTCCTTAACAGGACCCTGCTCCAAATTTGCTTGGTGATGTGAAAGTGAATTTTCCGCCTAGTTCTGGCATTTCCAGCCGATGGCCCAGCTGACAGGACACGCTCCCATAGCCAGGCTCATAGCCTAACTTCTGGTGTCAGATGCAAATTATGGTGACTTTTGCCTTTACAAAGGGCAAGATCAAGTCCTTAAGTGAGGCTCCCAAAGTACATACAGCACCCTTCCAGACCCAGCTCCACAGCAGCATGGCATGCACAGTACTGGTCTTGTTGGAGGACATTTGTTCTGTAATGCTGGAGTGATTTATACCAGTAGCAAAGAGCTGAAAGTGCTTAGACGGCAATTAAATATAAACATGCTAATTTCTCGACAGGCTAACTATGTAGTTCTCATCCAGAGAAAACTGTCACCCAGTCAACGCTGCAAAGATGATATAATCGGAATTTATGTAGCAGTGATGTGTGGTGACTCATGTAGGTAAAAAGGAAGATTGGGTCATATGTTTAACAAACACGTTTCTATCAAGAATAAAGAATGTTAGGCAGCCTTGACCCATTTCAACTCTTTTCCATGATTCTAATGGGTTATATTTGCAATTATTAGGAGCTTTCCAACTCAAAGGAAATGCTAAACAATTATTTGTAGGTTTTGCTGGGTGCAAAGAGATAAGAATAAAACTTCCCTATTTAGTTTTAGTTACCACCTCTGACTGTCACTGCATGGAGGCACCAGGCAGGCATTGTTTTAGAAAGTGTGGCTGCTCAGCAGGCCCTCTCGGCTCACTAGCTCCTATTTGGGAAGAGCAGAGGGAGGCAGGAGCTACTGAGCTAGCTCTGTGCGAAACTGGGAAAGGAGAGTGGGTCATAATAAGAACTAGAATAATCTCATTTACCACCATGATAAACAGGATGGTGGCAGATACAGTCATGCTGGGGCCATTTCAACACACTCGTAAAAGTCCTTATTTCTGAAGGTCCACATTTGTGAAAGTCCCTGTTGGTGAAGTCCCCAAATGTCTGCATTGGGGAAGACCCATGTTTGTGAAGTTCCATGTTTATGAAGGACCTTCCATGTTTGTGAAGGTCGCATTTTTGAAAGTCCCCATTGGTGAAGGTCCATGTGGTTGAAGATTCGTGTTTGTAAAGGTCCATGTTTCTGAAGGGCCCCATTGGTGAAGGTCCAAGTTTATAAAGGTTCCTGTTGGTGAAGGTCCTTGTTGATGAAGGTCCATGTCTGTGAAGGTCCCCATTGGTGAAGGTCCGTGTTTCTGAAGGTCCTATTGGTGAAGGTTTATGTTTGTGAAGGTCCTTGTTGGCAAAGTTTCATGTTTGTGAAGGTCACTGTTGGTGATGGTCCCTGTTAGTGAAGGTCCTGATTAGCAAAGGTTCATGTTTGTGAAGGTCCCCATTGGTGAAGGTCCCATTGGTGAAGGTCCTCATTGGCGAAGTTCCATGTTTGTGAATGTCCCTGTTTGTGAAGGTCCTCACTGGCAAAAGTTCATGTTTGTGAAGGCCCCTTTGGTGAAGAGCTATGTTTGTGAAGGTCCTCATTGGTGAGGGTTCCTGTTTGTGAAGGTCCTCATTGGCAAAGGTTCATGTTTGTGAAAGTCCCCATTTGTGAAGGTCCCTGTTGGTGAAGGTTCATGTTTTCGAAGGTCCTCATTGGTGAAGGAAGGTACTTGTTAGTGAAGGTCCTCATCAGTGTGCAGGGCAGGAACGGGAAGGGTGATGAACATTCTTCTTTTCATGTGTGCCTATAAGCAGATGTTCATCTACATACTTCCTGGATTTCTTTTTCCCCCAGGGAGATCATATAACAAGAGCCTCTGAGGCACACGGATATATGAGGAAAGAGGAGGGAGATGGAAGGACTCATGGAGCATGCTGCTGTCAGTGCTGTGCTGTCTGTGTGGAGCTGCCTGCCCCAACCAGCACTGAAGTGTATCCAGTATGCAGATTCTTTGAGCAGCACCACGGTGTTTTACATACTTTATATTTTTATAGGTATTTTATGAAGCACTTCAGAAAGCTTTCATGAAGCCCAGGTTTAAGTTGATGACCTTAAATTACATTAAGTCCCAAAAATTATATGAAGAAAATCTATTCTGTCAAGAGGCTGGCCAGAATGATAACTGTAATCTCCATCTGTGCCATCAGCTTCCCAGATGAGCCATGGCCAGGGCCCTTCCTCTAAGCTTCCTGGGACTCCATGGATGCATGGGACTTCTGGGCAGCAGTCCCTCATCTTTCTGTACCACTTCAGCTGCAGTGAGAAGAAGTTAAGGGAACACTGCATATTGGAGCCTCACATAGTTTTCTTTGTCCTGCACTATGCTTTTCAAAAAAGGTAAATAATTGCCAACATGTAAAAATTGAGAAGGTTCACATTAAAAATAGATTCTGGCTTTCAAAAATCACTGAGTTTGGATTCACGCTGTCTTGGATAACAGACATCAACTTCTTCTTTTTTTTTTTTTTCTGAGATGGAATCTTGCTCTTGTCACCCAGGTTGGAGTGCAATGGCACAATCTCGGCTCACTGCAACCTCTGCCTCCTGGGTTCAAATGATTCTCCTGCCTCAGCCTCCTGAGTAGCTGGGATTACAGGCATGCACCACCACTTCCAGCTAATTTTTGTATTTCTAGTAGAGACAGGGTTTCGCCATATGGGCCAGGCTGCTCTCGAACTCCTGAACTCAGGTGATCCGCCCGCCTCAGCCTCCCAAAGTGCTAGGATTACAGGTGTGAGCCACTATGCCCAGCCCAGACAACAGCTTCTAAAAAGTCGTCTATAAATTGATGGATAATGCAACCTTAGATCAAAGAGTTTAATTGCTGACACTGCTTCAGCTATAAGCATTAGCAGAAAGTAAAAAATAGGTACTTTTGAAGGGGTTCAGAGTATGATGCTCCAAAACATGCTGTTGTAGTAAAGGGTTTATTTTGAGCTAAAGACAGTTGAGAAAGAGCAGACACGATGGCGCTGCGAGCGGCGCGGAGCGTGCGGGTGGTGCTCTGCACCCTGCGCGCAGTCCAGTCACCTGCCGCGTCCTGCAGGCCGAGGCCCTGGCAGCTGGGGGCGGGCGCGGCCCGGAAGCTGCGCAAGGGATCTGCTCTGCTTTTGGTGCGTAAATTCACAGAGAAACATGAACGGATAACAACAGAAAATGGTATTGGAACAGTGGGAATCAGCAATTTTGCACAGGAAGCGTTGGGAGATGTTTACTGTAGTCTGACTGACGTTGGGACAAAATTGAATAAACAAGATGAATTTGGTGCTTTGGAAAGTGTGAAAGCTGCTAGTGAACTTTATTCTCCTTTATCAGGAGAAGTCACCGAAATTAATGAAGCTCTTGCAGAAAATCCAGGACTTGTAAACAAATCTTGTTATGAAGATGGTTGGCTGATCAAGATGACACTGAGTAACCCTTTATAACTAGATTAACTTACTAGTGAAGAAGCGTAGGGAAATACATAAAATCTATCGAGGAGTGAAAATGGAACCGCTAAATAAACCAGTTATGATTTAATGCAACCCAACAGAGTTGTCTTAAATTAGTGGTGGGCAGAAGCCTTAGAACAGCAACTTTTAGCATTACCGATGGGGAAAAAACTGTTCACCCTGCTAATGAAAGCAATGCCCTTTAACTTTCTAATGATTATACATACACATAATACATGTCTTTTCCACAATATCCTATGATTTTTAGACTAGGCTTTAGTATTCAGTATTCATGAAATTATACTTGTTGAAAACTAGTTATAAAAATTACATAATTCAGAGATAATGTTGTTATTCTTAAGCCTTATATGATGTTGTAACTTGTGTACATCCATATTTGGATTTGGGGTGAAATACTTAATGATCTGTCCACTGGAAATAACTGGGAGTGAAGGAGTGTTTGTTGCTTGTACAGTGTCAGATGAAGAACAACACTATCTTAATTTTGCAATACACTGCATTTGCTGGTGCTATTTTGATACAGTGAAACAACAGCTTTGCAGCAAAATAATAAAATACTTCTTCGAAAAAAACAAAAAAGAAAAAAAAAAGCAGACACAGGATGAGCCCTTTGCCCTCCCTCTCTCTGCCGGAAAAGTAAAATGCAAATTCCCCTTGAAAAGGCGCCCCTCCCCCTTCCTGTGCCAAGAGGGGAAGAAAGACCTTAACATTGGAGATGCGATGGCACCCAGAAAGAGTCTAGACAAACAAACCCCCTAACTAGCACTTATTGTCCATTAGCTTCCCTGCAGATTTGCCTCCCTATGATTGGCCAATCCTAGAAACCCAGTTTTTTCCTTTGTCTTGTTACCTCTCTGCAAATGTATTGTCCTTTGTCAGGATGCCACATAAGCCCACAATGTAACCACTCCTTTGAGTTACTCACCTCTGAGTGCCCCGTGTGAATACCCAGTGCTTATGTTAACAAACTTCTCTTCATTTCCTCTTGCTAATCTGTCTAATTTGCAGGACCCCATTCAATGAACCTAAGATGAGTAGAGGAAGAAAAAGAATAGTTTTTCCTTCCCTACAGTTTCTTGTGAAATATTCTTTTGTTGAGCAACTGACTTGGAAATTTTGATACTTCCAGATTAAAGGTATTCCTTATGTGCAAAGAAATCCAGATGATTATTGTTAAAGAAGTGTTAAATGCATTGATTAAATTATGTTGTTTTATAGATCTTATTCATCACATTAAAGGTTTTGAAAGATCGATAAGTGTTCGTTTAGGTAAACAGAGAAGATAGATGTTAATAACAATTCACTTATTAAACGGATTCTGTTATGTTCTTAATTTAAATGTATCTTCTTCAAAATAACCCTTAAGGATCAGAAAATCATAATGCATTAAAAAAGTAATTAAGGGCCAGGCGCAGTGGCTCATGCCTGTAATCCCAGCACTTTGGGAGGTTGAGGCAGGTGGCTCACCTAAGGTTAGGAGTTGGAGACCTGCCTGGCCAATATGGTAAAACCCTGCCTCTACTAAAAATACAAAAAATTAGCTGGTGTGGTGGTGGGCACCTGTAATCCCAGCTACTCGGGAGGCTGAGGCAGGAGAATCACTTAAACCCAGGAGGTGGAGGTTGCAGTGAGTCAAGATCTTGCCATTGCACTCCAGCCTGGGCAAAAAGAGTGAAACTTCATCTAAAAATAACAATAACAATAAAAGTAATTAAGTACCTGCCAAATACCCACCCTTGACTAAGACTGTAGCAGTATTACCTGCTGAAGTTCCAGATCACCAACACGTTTTCACTTGCGTTTTCTTTTCCAGAAACTACTTTGGGGAGATTTAATTTGATATGCCAAATGTATCTTTTCTGGAGAAAAAAATATACACTCGAGTCACTTCAACAGTACATCAGAACAAAGTTTTAGTAAACTGCTAAAATAATAGTTTCTTATTCTGTATTCAGCAAGACTGCAAATAAAACTGTCATTTTAGGGCCGGGCGCAGTGGCTCACGCCTGTAATCCCAGCATTTTGGGAGGCCAAGGCGGGTGGATCACGAGGTCAAGAGATCGAGACCATCCTGGTCAACATGGTGAAACGCTGTCTCTACTAAAAATACAAAAAATTAGCTGGGCATGGTGGCGCGTGCCTGTAATCCCAGCTACTCAGGAGGCTGAGGCAGGAGAATGGCCTGAACCCAGGAGGCGGAGGTTGCAGTGAGCCGATATCATGCCATTGCACTCCAGCCTGGGTAACAAGAGCAAAACTCCATCTCAAAAAAAAAAAACAAAAAACTGTCATTTTAAAAAATGTAGAAAAGGGGAGAAATTTTGTAGCATCAACTCCTGCTTGCATTTCCAGCCTTCTAGTCTGCCCTACAATTCCAAACTTCCCTGACCTTTAGACTTTGAACCAGTCGATCCTCACAATTGCATGAATCGATTCCCTGAAATAAATCTCTAGGGCCTCGGGAACACAAGAATTTTTGTTTTGTTCACTACTGGGTCCCCAGAGTTTAGAACAGCGCTTGACACATAACAGAGGTTCAGTGAGTGAAGGAATCAAAAGACAACTTTATTTTTAAAAATATGGAAAAGTAGGCCAGGAGTGGTGGCTCATGCCCGTAATCCCAACACTTTGGGAGACTGAGGCGGGTGGATTGCCTGAGGTGAGGAGTTCAAGACCACCCTGGCCAACTTGGTGAAACCTCATCTCTAAAAAAATAAGTAAATAAAAAATAAGGAAAAGTATCTGCTAGATGAAAGCAGATGGGCATGAGATATTACAGAAGAATTCTGTTTATGGGGTGGGGCAGTTGCAAGAGACCCTTCTCCAGCCCTCACTGGGGAGGCAGGCATCCACACAGCCCGCTGGTTGTGCCTTAGGCCCTACTGCTTTCATTCTGTCCGGTGGCGCTTCCAGTCTTGCCTTTCCTTTCCTTTTCTCATATCCACATTCAAGAAGAATAGAACATAAGTGACTTAATAACTGCTGTGGTGGATCTCCCTTCGGGGCCAAACCCGCTGCTGAGAGTATTGGCTGCCAATGGCTCCCTCCTCAGGAATTGCCCTCAGCAGAAAGACGCTGCAATCACTCAAGTCATGCTCCCTTTATGGGGGCCACCTCAGAAAAGCCATCGCAGCTCGGAACACCTCATGTTCCACCTGAGGCTGCTGTTGCACCCACATCACAGCCCAACTCTGCCCCTGTCCTCCTGCCACTCACATTCCTTCACAGGATGATACCCATGAGAATGCCTCAAAGATCCTGGTATGCAAATCTCCTCAAAAACGCTGTTCTAGGGAACCTAAACTGTAATGAGGCTTCTGACACTTCATTTTTTAAAAGAATGTTGCAGAAATATCAAAATGTCACAACCATTATCAGATTTTAATGTGCTAGTCTCAAGATTTTCTCTTAGACATTGATATTTAACTGATACTGACAAAAGGATGTTATTTTTGTTCAATGATGTTCAGTAAATTCATGACACCAAAATAGCAGTCAAGCAATCAATTTAGTAGAAACAAAAATTATAAGATTAATTCTTTTGAAGCATAATTGTCTGTTTTTGAAAGGTACTTACTTAAAATGTATAACCATTGAATTCACTTGTGCTTTGAACAGCCTTAGTTAAGAGGAATCCTGCCTTCGAACACACAGAGAGTTGCTCTTGTCAAAATCCATCTTAAAAAAAAAAAAGAATTGTCAGCCAAAAGATGGGAGAAAAACATGCTAATTCTCTGCTGACCTTGGGAACCAGGCACTCTGGACACATCTGAGTCATTGTGGGCAGGGATTGAAGGGGAGGATGAAGATAGAAAGAAACATCCCCTTTCTGGCCAGGCGTGGTGGCTCATGCCTGTAATCCCAGAGCTTTGGGAGGCCAAGGTGGGCAGATCATGAGGTCAGGAGTTTGAGACCAGCCTGACCAACATGGTGAAACCCCATCTCTACTAAAAATACAGAAAGTTAGCCAGGCGTAGTGACAGGTGCCAGCAATCCCAGCTACTCAGGAGGCCGAGGCAAAATAATCTCTTGAACCCAGGAGGTGGAGGTTGCAGTGAGCCAAGATTGCACCACTGCACTCCAGCCTGGGCAACAGAGCTGTCTCAAAAAAAAAAAAACAAGAAACATTCCCTTTCTGTCCACTCCTGACATTGCCCTCCAGGCAGGCTTGTTGCTTACATGCAATTTCATTTTAGATTCGATTTCTTTATTTTTCATTTAGTTAATATTTATTAAATTTATCCAACATTCTATGTACTATGTCAGTAATGAGTTTTCTAAGAAACAATTTGAAAATCCTGCCCTTAAAAAACAGGCTTCACCCCATGACTTCAGGACAATCTTTTTAAGTGCATATGAAATGTTTACCATAAATGACAAGAAGCAGGGACATAATCAATAATCAATTATCTACAAATTTCAAAGAATTAGAAACTTACAGTATATTCTTATAGCCACAGTAGAATTAAATTAGAAAACAATAAGATTCTATTTCAATGTCATGCCGTGATCAAAGACAAGGTAGGGATAGGTCAAGGCAGAAAGTGATTTGGCAAAGAAGATGCATTTTTGGTTTCTTTTCTTTCTTTTCTCCGTCCCCAAATCCAGCCTACCCACACCACTCTGGGTGTCCTGAGGAACCCTGGGTCCAGGGTGGGGTCCCTCTCACCTCCCATTCTCAAAGCCACCTGAGAAGCGAACAGTGGGCACCACCAGTCCCAGAGGTGCTTTCCTCAAGATGGAGACTTCTCATCAAGTAGAGGGATGCAGGTTGACAATAGTGTTTCCCATGTCGTTCCTTGAAAAATGTGGCATGAATTTTTGCATTTTTTTAAACCTCGAATCCTTGAAGAAAGTTCCCAGCAAGTCAGTGAGAGCCCTGAACCACTCACAAAATGCAAAGGGAAGCCAAGTGGCAGGAAGTAATTAGCCTGTCAATTATGGGGACAGAGCTATAGTGGGACAGAAGAGGGTCCCTGATATCAGCGAATGAATATAGGCAGAACTGCTGGCTGGAAAAAAATAAAAGTCATTGCCAGTATTTAAAAAAAAGTTCAGTACTTGACTGCCCACAGGAGGCACACGTGAAATAAAAATATGCAAGTAGTGTGGGCACAGTGGCTCACACCTGTAATCCTAGTACTTTGGAAGGCCGAGGTGGGCAGATTGCCTGAGCTCAGGAGTTCAAAACCAGCCTGGGCAACATGGCAAAACCCTGTCTCTACTTAAAGTACAAAAAATTAGCTGGGTGTGGTGGTGCACACCTGTAACCTCAGCTACTCCGGAGGCTGAAGCAGGAGAATCACTTGGACCCGGGAGGCGGAGGTTGCAGTGAGCCAAGATTGTGCCACTGCAATCCAGCCTGGGCGACAGAGCAAGACTCTGTCTCAAAAACAAAACAAAACGCAAGCCTATTAGAAAGTAAGATCATACTGCTGCTGCATACTGAAAGCAACAAGTGTGTTTCTTCTAAAAGTCACTAAGAGACAACATCCACATGGGATGATGCGAAGATTAACCACATGCAATGATACTAAATTTGTCACCTCAAACGCATGACTAGGCAGAAGAATAATGATAACACCTCTATTTCTACCTAGATGAGAGGAGATAAAAAACTGGTATTAAAATTATTCCTCAGAATAACACAATAAAGCAGATTTGATCAGCAGGTAGGAGCTATCAAGAGGGACACTCTCATGGGGATCCCAGACATGTGAAAATTCCAGAGAGCAGACCCAGCGCCATTCTCGCTGCACCTGCCCCAGAACATCAGCTCCACTTGGAATAGGCACTGAGTCTGCTGAGGGTTGGAATGAAAATGTCTTTAATTGTGCCTGACCCACTTCTTATAAATAAGCTTGTTAATGGCCCAGTAGAAGACCAGGATTTCTATGCTGGGTTTTTCTGTTTCTTTCCCTGCCCCACTCCCTCTGTCATCTCCTTCCTACTTTAGCCCCGCCTGAATACACACATTCTTTTCTAGGATTTATTTTTTAACTGCTAATATTATGCCACCCGCAATAAACCAATGCCGAAACGAAAGCAGTGGTATGTCAAAAACGAATTAATAAATTGTCCGACAAGCCCTAACTTCCAAACCATGAAGAGTAAAGATGCAGCTAAATAACATCAAAGCTGCCAGGCATTAAGCAAGGAAAGATGCCCAACAAGATCAATTCAAGGCCATCCTCATAAAGGGAAGTTTGAACTGCCCTGGAATATCATCTATAACTATTTAGACACTGGATTTAAGAATATCCAGGTAGGATTAAGGGGTGTAAATCTTGTGTTGGAGAAATCATGGTTAGGACTAAAACAGGATTGTCTCTCAGAAGCTGAAGTCACAACACACATGTTGCATCTTATCAGAACAATCGACACCAATGAAAGGGAAATGGGCTGAGAGTGCTTTAGACAAAAGGGCCTACAAGTTGCAGTATGGATTTTTCAGAGTTTCAGCCATGTGCACAGTGAAGCTGTTCTGGTCAACTTGAGGTCCACGTATGGGAGCGACCGATGCATCAGCCACAGTAGGACACAGCTCTCGGCTTCCAATCCATAGATGCTTCCTGAGGCCACCATCTGGGAAGGTGCCTTTAATGT